CCAGTGTCAGCCCGATTGCTCGTAGCGTGGGGGCTTGTCTTCCCCCCCCCCGACAGCCAGTGTTTGCTCACCTGCCTGCAGCACGTGCCCCGTGCCAGGAGTGAGCGCCTGCCCGCCTGTGCTCCGAGCAGGGCTTGCACATCAGCAGCCCAGCACACCCCCCCCTCCCTGAGGCTGCCACTTGCCACCCAGCAGCAGACGAGCGTGCCAGGGAGAAATTCAGGGCCTGTGACATAACTTGGAGTATTGCACCAGCATGGCCTGTCCCACCTCAGGCAGCTCCTTGCAGCTGGCACAGTGCCACGCTGCGTCCCCATGGGCGTGCTGCTCCTGGCACTGAGCAATGTCGGCTGCTGCCCAAATCTCCAGCGCTTGTGTGGCCACGCCGTGAGCAGAGCTGGCAGAGCGCTAATGAGAGTTGGGCTTTGGCCATGGGAGGCTCAGTTTGGGCTGGTACATGCGTCATGGCACCCAGGCTGGTGGCGGGGAGGAGAACGGCAGGGGGGGCTGCGGACACAGATGATGGGAGCGGGCAGTGGCCCTCCACGATCTCCCCAGGGCTCAGGCCGGCAGTGGCTGGAGCAGGGGCAATCACACTAATGCCAAGCGTGGTGCAAAGTCGCTCCGTGGCCTGAGACAGGCAGCATTAGTCTGTTGGCAGCTCACAAGGATCAGCTCTCTGGATAAAGTGGGGCAGCAGAGTTTATAAAAAGGCATTTTGGCATAAATAGCCATTGTTGGACTCCTTTGCCACCTGCGGCTCACGAGGGTTTTCGTGCAAATGCTGAACTATGGCCATGTTCTTGCCAGGGCAGTTATGAATGAATTCTTCCACTCTGCTTTAAACCACATCTGAGGCTGCTTGACTGGTGTCTGGCTTCAGCAGGCCACATTTTGGGATATAAACAGTTTACAGAGCAGCCTTCTGTTGGCCGCCGATTGTGAAATAAAGAGCCAGGCATTGCTACAAAACAGAAAGCAAAAAAAGGAAAAAAGAAAAAAAAAAAGAAAACCAAAAGAAAATAAAGAAAAAGCAGCCCTCCTGCCCGTGTCTGCACCACCCCCTCCCTGGGCCAGCCAGCACGGTCCCCAGGCTGCCACAGCCCCAGCGCGGGCACAGGAGCGGGACCAGGCTGGCAGCTGCCTTGCTTGAGGTGGTGCAGGTTGGATGAGGAATTCGGGGCACTTGGAGAGGGCATCTGCCACAGGACTGCCCCTCCACCTCTGTAGCCCTAAAATACACCCTGCTTTTACTGCAGTGGCCGGCCAAACTTTCAAGGATTTGCAAGGTTAAATGAGCCAGGAATCCCCCCTGCCCTGCCCATCAAGGGACTGAGCAGCCACTGTGCAGTGACCTCCGAGGAGCGAAGCAAAGCTCATGCAAGGTATTTAAAGTGCCTAAAATTTTTTTTTTTTGAAGCAGAGGTGCCCTGCCTCTATATATTAGTATTGCCATGCTTTGGAAATAAAGGATTTGCTCACACTCCAGGTCAAATGCTTTTAAACATCGGAAGCACTCTTTACAAGCCAAAGTTTTATTTGTTTCATAAACAAGTAAAATTATATTAATGTAAAACAGGTAAATGGACAAAAGTAAAACACACGGCACTGAACAGAACGCTATAGAGCACTGACATGTAGAAGTGCAGTTCCCTCCCTCGTGCGATGCCCTCCCCCCCAGTCCCCAAATGATTTGCTTGAAAAGCCTAATACAGAGGTCCAAAATGTGATTCAGCTTAAACATGATGTACAGGTCACAGTATTGAATCATAAAGGTAACGATAAGAGAGTAACTGTCTTGGAAAGGGGGAAGGTAAAAGAGTTCCCCCATCTCTTCTTTTTCTTTCTTTCCACCTTTTTTTAATTTTTAAACAAATAGGTTAGGAGGAGAGGGGGGGAAAATCCGTGGAAATAAACACTTTTTCACTCCAATATATATATATATAAAAAAAGCAGGGTTCTCAGTGAACACAAAATTCTATAAAACTACCATTGATCTGTGTTGTTTTCTCCCCCGTTTTTTTTCTTTTTAAAAGTTGCTTTAAAAAGGATAAAAAGTGCACAGACACCCTTATAAGGCACAAACAGATCTTCTGTACAAATCATGTATCATCGGACTGTTTAAAAAAAATAGCAATACGAGTACTAACAATTAAATCTGTAAGAGGCTACCTTTTCCTGGAAATCTTTTATAAGAGGCCTATTTTGGAAAATTCCTGTTGCTCTCAGATAGGCAGGGCGACATGTCCACTGCGCTCACGTCCCGCTCGCTGCATGGCTGCAACTCTGGACCCTGACTGAGCTGGCTCCCTTGCTGGCTCTGCTGGATGCTGCCCTTCTGAAAACTGGTTTTGGCTGCTACAGCAAAAATTCAACCTGTGCAGTATGTCCTGAACAGCTCAGACACAGCCTGGGGTGGATTTGGTATTTCTCTTTGCTGGCTTTAAAAAAAAAAAAGAAAAAAAGAGCTACACCAAAAAAAACCCCCCACCCCAGGTATGCAGTTAGCCCTGCTCATTGAGGACCTGAGGTGCCAGCCAAGCAAATGGGCTCTGCTCTGCCCATGCGTGTAGCTGTGTGCAGCCACCAAAAGGGACTGAGCACCCCTGAAACCAGGACAGCAGCCCCAGGGATGACTGCTGGTGTTTGCTAGCCCAGACCTGATCCAAGCTAACGTCATTCACTGTGGATGCGGACAACTTTCCTTGAATTCCTCATCATGCAAAGGCTTCCCACTGCAGCCTGTTCACCAGGCAGGCGCTAACCCCCCCCTGGCCTTTCATCCCATGCTCACATACTTTGCCATCATCGTGCTCTCAGTGCTGCGCTCACTGACCGCAGCCGGACCCTGATCTGCAAACGCGGGACTGGGGAGGTCTCTGCGAAGGCAATGTCAGTGGTCCCTGGGTGGAGGGCAGCCTGGAGGTCGGGGCAAGGCTCCAGCTGCTGGAAAGCTGCCCTCGCTGCCTCCTTTTGCAAAGGTGTAAGTGGACTTGTGCCGCAGTGCTCGTGGCTCTGCTGAGGGCTGAGCACGCTCGGTGGCAGCACAGCCAGTGGCATGAGCTGAGTTTCCAAAAAGGGCTCTGCAAAGCCAGCAGGCTCTCATGCCGATGCAGCAGGCCAGTGAGTGAGAGATCTCACTCTACAGTAGCCTCTCCTTTATACACTTAATTAAAATGTTAATTAGTTCTTCAAGGGAAAAAAAGGTTTTTCTCCGTGCCCTGTGAGCTGGCAGCCACAGCCCGCTGCGGGAGGAGGATGAGCTGCTCCCCTGGGTGTGCTCTCCCTGACGGCAGAGCGCAGCTGGGACGGGGCCGAGTGCTGGGTGGTAACCAAACGCAGCACCACAGGCATCGCCAAACCACCACCCAGGCAGCAGCGCTGCAAGAGGCAGTGCACCCATGGCTACCGGCACCTTGGAGGAGAGAGTGAATAGCGAGGCGAGGTGACAGACACCAACAACGTCAGGCTGCCCCTCTGTGCCCACAAGCCCTGAAACATAGAGGGGTTGCTATTCTTTTTTGGACTAAAATGTCCACCTTTCTGAAGAAAGCCGTTCTTACGCACTTGGTGGCACATGGTCACCAAGCGAGAATGACACCAGCCCCTCTCTCATCCTCCCATCTGCATCCTTTCTCTTCCCCTCTTTATGAACCTGGACCAGCTGGAAACCAGCCAGGCTCAGGCTGAAAGGCTGGATAGGAGTTGTGCAAGTGGGCAGTGGGCAGAGGACGGAGAATGGAGGGCAGCTCCTGCGGGAGCAGCACGGAAGAGGACACCAAGCTCCTCGCACCAGCCCCGATGCTGCATGCTCAGATGCTGCCCAGCTCATCCAGGTTACTGCTGCTTGTAGCTGTCTAATATTGCAGCTGAAACCCATTTACCTTTTAAGTCCCAACATCTAATAAAAGCCCCAGAGCCTTTTTCTTTTCTCCTCCCCAGTAAAGCCAGGTGAGATAGATCCCTGTTCATCTCAAGTTCTCATCTACTGTTGGGACCCAGTGTCCGGGCAGCTGGGAGCTGTGCTAGGAAACCTGGAAAGGCAGGAGAAAGAGCAGGTAAAATCAGCACATACACAGTGCCCAGAAAAAAGGTGAGCCTGCTGGGACTGGGTCAGAAATTAATTTCTCACCACAGGCTCCAAAAAGTCCCTGTGGTGGGGCAGGAGGAAGGCTGAGCCCTGCCGCTGCGCTGGCTGCTAAGGATGGGCTAGGGGAGGCGAGCCGGGCAGGACGGTGTGAGACGACAGCTATGCCGCCTGCAAAGAGGAGCAAGCATGTGTGCCTGGAGGTGACAAACACCATCACTGCAGACAGCGGTAGCCCTGCGCTTTTTCTAAGCCAGGATTGCAGTGTGCCCATCCGAACACCCCTCTCATCCACAGGCTGCAATTTATGGCTTCAGCAGCCAGACATACAGGCAGTGCCTGAACAGCCCATCGCTGCTGCCCACTGCTCCATCACTGCTGCAGCAGTTGCGGTTGGCTGGGGCTCTCAGCGGGCTCGTGGTCCTCACTGCTACCCCGTGGCTGCACCCCGGGTCTCAGCCTCCTTGGCCAAAAGTCCCTGCTCTGCCACAGAAGGCAAAAGCTGCTTTATCTAAGTCCAGACCAGTTTCTCCACGTGCCCCAGAAGCCTGTTCAGGGAGCTGAAATCCAAACAAGTGAGAATCTGGCTGTGCTACTATTTTGGCCTTAGCTAGTTCCGCTCACACAGATGAACATGACATTTGCAGATCAGGTTTGTCCACTTTGAACCCTCCCACTGGGCCTTGTTTGAATTTTGTTCCACCACAGCACAAGCACCTGGCAGCAGCCCAGAGCTGCTGGGGTTTCAGGGTTAGGAAGCCCCGTGGCACCCGGCACTGACAAGTGGCAACCTCCCCTTCCCGATCCGCACCACAGCGAGCCTCCTCCCCTCCTCTGGAGGAGGAGGAGGAAAAAAAGAGCCTTTGCATGGGAAATTTCTCATTTGCAGCTGGGTCTGGTCCAGACCGCGATTCCCCGGATTTGCCCGTGGGCACACAGCCTGGCCGGCACGGCAGCCGTGCCTTTGGGCCCCACATGATCCTCAGCTCAATTTTATCCCTGAATTGTGCCCTACTAGTCAAATAAGGAAACACAGATAACGAGCCACTTGATAACGACTGACCAGCACGATAACCCATAAGCAGGGACGGAAAGGCATGGTTACTGCTAGCGGCGTTCCCCCTTCCTACAGCCCGAGCCGGGCGCTAAGGGCGATATATTTTAATAACATCTTTGATGACCCGTCGGCAGATTGGGCAGCAGGCATTGAGCTGCTTCTTCAGCTTAAGACCGCAGGTGTTGCAGAGGCACATGTGTCCGCAGGTGTAGATCACCGTGTCCACCTCGCTGTCAAAGCAGACGGTGCATTCCCCGTTCTTGCTGCTTGATGGCTCTGGAGGGGGGAAGACGGGAGAGATGGGGGGGCTCAGGGGGGAGCTGGGAGCAGTCACTGCAGAAGAGGAGGAAGGAATGAGATCATTTAGTCACCAAGATGGTGCAAACCTGACACTGTACAACACACACACTCAAATCAATTTTTAAGGCTCTTCCTTCCTTAGTCATTGCCTGGTTCGTTTGGCCAAACAAACCCCAGCATATTCTAATTGGTACCATAGGTACAGCTTCGGGCAGAGCCTGCCATCCCTTTTCTACAGATGGGGCAAGCACAAGCTCGCCTGGGCTTCCCCAAGCAGGGCTGTGATTTTGCACACCCGTTTCATGGTGTGAGTGTGCAGAGCCCCGCTCTCCCCAGAGGAGCTGTGCTCCACGCAGGGCGCTCCTGCATCTCGCCGGCCACGCCAGGCGGCTGCGGCACTGCACAATGGCAGCACGTGCCGGGGACAGTACTGGGCAGGGCACTCAGGGCCGTCTGCCTGAGACCCAAACATCAGCACGTGAGCGGTTATGTGGGCAGCCCTCTGGCAGTGGAGCCCTGGCAGTGCAGAAAGCAGTGGTCTGGGTGGTGTAAGACCCCAAGACATGATACCGCATCTGCCGCTATTGCAGTACTGCTGCTTGCAGCAAGGACAGCCCCGCAGGGACCACTTTCATTAAACAGACTGACAAAGTGGGAAGCAACATGCAGCCCTTCTTCAGGCCGTGAAAATCTTCCCACCACTTTGTGTTTTCTTCCAATTATTTCTGTTGGCCTCGCAGGAGATGTAACATCTCCCCTCTAACCTTGCCCTGCTGTCTTGCATAGCCCCAGCATCATCTATCAGCCTGGATTCCCGTCTTAGCGTAGCCGGCACAGCCAGGTGCCGAGGGCTGGGCTCTCCTTACCGAGCGATGACTCTGAAGCAGACGACGACCTGTTCACGCTGAAGGCCATGTCCGAGTCGCTGTCGTACTGCGAGCCGCCAGGGGATCCTGAGGGAGAGACGGTCACTGGGCTGGACTGCACAGTGCCTGCAAACACAGGAGAGAGCTGAGCCCGCCACAGGGCCAATGGACACCCAAACCCCAGCTAAACACCCCTCAGTCCAGTGAGTCGCTCCCACCCCACGTGCGCAGGGGGCTTTAGGAGAAAGTCCAGCTACTGAGTTAAGTGCTGCCCCTTAGTAACGATACAGGTGCATGATTTTGGATGTGACCTCCAGGGCCCGGACCTCACTATGCCATTGTACAATTTCTGTTCAGTGCTTCAGCAAGACGAGCACCAGGTTATCTGACAGCCATCGTTTGGGGTGTAAACTCACTTCCCCGCGGTCCCAATCTCTCCAGCAGCAGTGGCCTCAAGCTATTACTGTCTCACTGTCAGATCAGGGGCAGGTGGGAAAGGGCATTGCTTTAAATGAGAAAAACCTGCTTTACAAAGTCACCAACATCTGCTTCTCTGGCAGAATCCTTAACAAGAGGAAAGGAGAAGCACTGTAACTGCTCACCAGCAATAGATCAAAAGCAACATCTGATACCCGAGGTGTGGCAGTGCTTGGGGAACGATTACTGCCCGTCAGCGACACACGTGCTTAAACCAGAGCTGCGCTCACAACAATCATCACCCTTACCAAGGCAGGAGTTTAATACCTGTTGGCTGGAATAGTGGGTTTATAAAGAATCCCTTTTAAAACAAACCCTCTGAAAACCAGCTGTCCCCCCCACAGCCATCCCTGCCTCCCTACCTGCTGCTTATTTTATCTCTCAAGTCTCATCCTTTTCTGGGGAACTTATACAGGCTGCATACAATCTATGTGACAACTACCATCTCTTGCTCACTCTTGTTTGCAAACACAAGGTGAGCTCAGGAGCTGCTTCCCCACATCGGTGACCACCTGCTAAAGGCAACACTGCAAATGCAAACCCGTAGCTCCCATTCTGGCCCAGAAAGCTTCACAGTCAGGTGCTCCCCACTATCATTTCTTTTGGCTGCACTTACCCAGTATTTTGAGCTGGTTGATTACACCATGGATTGTAAAAAACACCCAGAGAGACTGTGAGGTGTCCACGCACATTAGCATTCCTCGGCTGGCTCCATTCACCCCGTGGTGCACCTCTCCATTCGGCAAGACCATGAAACTGAGAATGTCGCCGTTGTTGAGGACCGGGAACGCTCGGTAAACCACCCAGTACTCCTTGCGGTCCAAAAGAAAGTCTGGATCTGCTGGGAGCTCATTTGTCCGTAAAGTACTCGGATCACAAGAAGTGATGCCAAATGAAAGGGCCCCATAGTACGGCAACCCAAGATGTCCTACTTCCACAAAGAGGCTTTCACCGATATGCAAAGGCCGGTCAGAAAACACCAAAGTCCTATTGCTTTCTTGCCAGTTGGTGCATGCAACCATCCGGTCCTGAGAAAAGGTGATGTCAGGTCCACGGGTGGGGTGGAATCGCAGGTCTGTGTCCAGGAAGGCTGGGACCCCCTGGGCTCGCTGCCGTCGGTTTGGGCAACAGGGGATGATGTGGTTGTCTGTCGCAAGTCCTGGAACCCGACTTAGGTTTAGGTTTGCAATTTTGGCCACCACTTGGTTATTCTCCAGTTCGTTGTTATTGAAGTTGGCTGAATCATGGTTGCTCTGTGGAAGGCAAGTGCTGAGACGGGCAGTGCTGAGACGGGCAGTGGTCATGGTCTCCGCAAACATGCTATCTGTGAGATAAACCCAGTGATAAGGGACATTAGAGTCAAGATACAATTGCCTACTTTTACGGTTACAATTGTTATTATTTCAGCCTACAGATTATCTGACTTCTGTTCCTCTGAATGGAAAAACAATGGAAAAATTAGCCAGAGGTCAACCACTAATGAAAGGCTAGCGGTGGAGAGTCTCATGTGGAGCAGGCAGAGAAATGGCTGCATCTTGGGACTAGCTGAGGAAAAACACGTGTTATGAAGTACCCATGTAATCTGGGAGCTCCTTGCACTGGTGAACTGGGAAAAGCTGTAAACCGGTGTCATCCTACAGCTTTCTCAGTAGAGGGGACTAATAGCTTTGAGGGTGCTTCGTAGAAGAAGGAAACGCCTCAATATCTTGTTGTCCAAAGGTCTCATGCAAGCCAAATCTGCAACACAGTGATGGGCGAAGGAGCACAAGCATTAATAGATACTCCTTTCACACTCCTTGTCGTTGCCTTACAGCTGTGAGGTGTCTAGGCATAGGTGTGTCCAAGAGAGGTCATTTTACAAGAAGATTTCAAGCCTCCTATCTCAGGGGTGTTCACACCACTGCAGAGATTTTGAATTGAGAGCTTGTCACAAAAGTTACTTGCTGCAGGTGTTACAAAGAAAATTTTTACAGTTAGAGAGTTATTTTCCCCTTTCACAGCAAAGGGAAAGTCAGGATGCTGACTCTTAATTCATTTCCCAGATTTTCACCTCAGCCGCGCCAGGCTGGGGGGGGATTTAAAGGTGTGGGGAGGTTCGGGAGTGCCCTTCCTTCTACCTCCAGCACTGTCCGGGGCGGCTTGGACACTTCCCTCCAAAGGTAAGGCCATTAACCAGCAGAGCAAAGTCAAAGCACGTGGAAGTTAAGAGTGTGCGTGAATGAAGCAGACTCCTGGTCTTCCCAAAGATGGAGAGGGGAAAAGCATCCCAGCACCAACACTGCCTGCTCCTTGGAGGAGAAAATCACCAGGCTTTTACTAAAGAAGGAGAAACACCCAAATCCATCCAGCAGCTGCAAAGCAGAGGCTGCCTTCACTCAAAAGCCCATGCAGGAGAGGCCACTGGTGTAGGCTGATGGCTGTACCAGCTGCTTCTAGCAAGCACAGGGTATCTGGCAAGAAGTGCTCCCACAGAGGAGTAAGACACAGACACACTTCATGATGCTGAAAGATGCATTTTGTACATCTGTATTTGGGCTATATTTCACAGCTTTCTTGACTTGCAAAGTTTTAGGAGGAAGAGACAGAGAGACAAACATGTCTGCTTTGACACCACCACATCTGTAGCAAGGAGGCTGGGTCCCCGGTGCCCCAGGTGGCTGAGCATCGTCCTGATTCCTGGGGCAGTTTGTGGGGCTTGGTACTTTGATCAAAAAAAAAAAAAAATCAGAGTACAGGTGCCCTCAGGCCAAGTCTTTCACTCTGCACACTTGGGTGCCGAGGGCAGGACTGGGGGGTGGGGACAGAAATAAGCTGCATTTTATTTTTCTAACTATAATCTAATGAGAAAGAAGGACTGCTCTGGTGAAGCAGCTGCACTGTCCAATACAGCAAACATTCCTTCACCTCTGTGATGAGCACCAGAGGCTGGAGTGTGTCGCAACTGCAATTACAGGATAAGCTACTGGTAAGGTTTAATTACACATTTGAGGCAGAGCAGGCAGGGCAAAGTGTTGTTTATGTGTAGCCTTCTTGGCTGTAAAATAATTTATACCATTCAGAAGAATATGTGATGGAGCTGCCTGCCCACTGGACTAACCATTTCACAGCTTATCGCTGGTGTCTGTTCAGTGTGAGGATGGAGGCACCATCCCCTCGAGCAGGTGCTGCTTAGCTTGTTAAAACCAAATCAGCTCCTAGGAGCCTCCAAGAAAGGGCAACACTCTTGTATTTTAAAAGGATTCCCTGTGGTGTAGACCAGTTCAAAACACTCCATCTAACACTGAATTCATTTGAAATTTCAATGCCGTAAAAGTCACAAAAGCAAAGTTATTCCAAGGCAATCGGCTCAGTTGCCTAATGGGAACAAATTCATCCCCTCTTGCAGCCCTCCCCAAGGATGATGCTTGTAAATCAGCCAGGCACCACCTGAATGCAGCGATCTGCTTAGGGGTGAGGAGAGATGCGGCATGCAGTGGCAAGGATCCCAAAGTACACAGGAGCTCGCACTACATCTTCTCATCACTCTTCAGCTGGCGGGCTGCATCCTGTGCTGCAGCCAGTGCTTTGCAGACATACAGGGATGCCCATGTACGAGGGAAGGATAAGTGTGGTTACATCTGCAAACACAGCTTGTTAAACTGCCAGTCTAGGTGGGGACCAAGGCCAAAAGTTGAGAGAGGGGCTGGGGAAGGGTGCCAGGAAACTCTTGGGGAATGGGTCATCATTTTCCAGTGGACTGGCAGTAACTGGTAGCTGGGAAAAAAGAGGGGAAGCCAGAGCTGGTCGCCTTTGTTTCCCCAGTCCCTGGGACCTTGCACCACATTTTTCCACACCATAGCAGCACATCTAGCTCAGAAAAAGCTGGGTAAAGTTACATGTAAAGATTTCCATCTAGCCCTTCACACAGCTGCTATAATGCACAGCCTTAGGACTTTCCATCACTGACATCTCTGAAATATATTGCTTTCTGGATCCCCGCTGCTGGCAAAAGAAAAATGGTTAATTTGAAGTACAAAAGCAACAGTAAATTAGTTTTCTTAAGTGTCCCATAGAAATGATCAACCAGATAGATCATGCATCTTTTCTCCATGATTATGCCTTTGTGGAAAGAGCAACCAGAAGAGAAAGCCATGGGCCAAAATACACACTTACCTAGTATTTGCACTTCATGAGTAATTCCATAGACGTCTATGAGTGCCCAGAGAGGTCCGGAAACTTTAATACCACAGTGAAACAATATTGGCTCCTCATCATTAATACTGTAGAAGACTCTCCCATGGCGGTCAACCCAGAAGGCCAAGATATTGTCTCTCACAGCAAACCTCTCTGGCAAAGCTTTGGCCCAGTATCCGGGTCGGGTCACTAGGTCCGGACAGGCGTACTTTGGTATCTCGTCAGAGCTCATCTGCGATGGGTCATGAATAGTGAAGCCGAAGCGTAGGGCCCCGCTCCAGCCGTGGTGCACAGCCACCAGCTTCAGCCTGACTTTCTCGTAGAGGTGGATGGGCCGGTTGGTGAAGGTGACCCCGTTGCAGAAACTGTTCCTCCGCGTGGCCTTGCGGGAGTGAGCGTCCAGGCGCACATTCTTGCCTTTGGCTTGGGAGTGGAAACGTGGCGGCTCCGTGATAGCGAGGACCGAGCGTCTCTCATGGCTGCTGTTGGGCAAACTGTAATAGGGGCGGCTGGAGACGGAGCGGGTCTGGTGGCTTGTGTCTGCAAAAGGAGAAACCAGCAGCTCCATCAGCAGTGCTCAACCTGAGCCACGCGTTTAGCTCAGCTCAGGCAACTGCAACTGGCTTGCCACGCATGCTTTGTATTACTCGCTGGGAACCGCACTATTTAACCTTAAAATGCTGTGCTTGGCCACAATCTGCTCTTTGTTGCACCAATTTGGCCCTCAGCTTTATACAAATATAAGGCAAATGTGGCTCTCGGGGCAAAGGTTAGGCAGCTTCCCTTCTACGCCCTGCAAAGCTGGACGAAAACGAACATCCTTTTGTTCCCATCAGATGCATCCTATTGCACTCGGAAAAGCTTAACGCTTGTGACTGTGGCTCCGAGTTTCCTACTTACAATGCATGTGCTGTTAAATCACCAGCTCGTGGCCGGCGTCACACCATCTCTGAGAATCGTGGCTGTTAAGATCAGAGGTGCTCAAGAGGAACGCGGATGTAGGATACTATTTTCTGGGGACATGCAGCCATTGGTTTCTCTGTCCCTTAATTTTGTAACGATGAACAAGAGCTTTTGAACAACACAAATAAACCAAGACATTTAGCAGCTGGAGCACTACCTCTGCCTCACCAGACTGTTCTTCCAAAACTTTCAACCCAGCCCCTGGTTCAGATATCAGATGCAACTGGCACATTAAGGAACGTTTCATCCCACAAAGCCTCGCCTTTACACAGAACCTCCCATTTGAGCTCAAAGCACTTTATAAATGATGATTGTTTTCAGCTTCACAGCACCACAGATGGCATAGAAATCCTGCCATCCTCATTTTACAGATGGGAGAAGGAGAATTTATGGGTGAGATCTTGCAGCATTTAAAGTCAATAGCAATTTCGAGACCAATTTCAAGAAAAGCAGATTTGAGGCCTAAAGTGAAGTTCACACAAGCGTGAAGCAGAAATGAAAGAAGTCCAACTTTTAATCTTAAGCCTTAGCTGTAAGTTCCCTGAGATGGAGACAATCTTTTTTGCATATCCCTGAACACATGGGGTCCTGCTCTGGGATCAGGGGTCCTATGACCACCACCACCACAGTGTTACAGGCACTTTGATCTCCCCATTTCCCACCCACCCCTACTCTCCTCCTCTTTGCACCTGGCTTTGTAGATTTTTAAAGGAAAAATGGAAGGCGTCCTGGGTGCTCAAAGTCATCCTGTTAAAACTGCATCACATGCACACATTTATTTTGAAATCTTTTGCCACGTTTGAAGCTTTAGAAGCCGCCTGCCTGGCCCTTCCTTCAAACTGCTTCCTCCCTGTGTGTTACCCCTGGCTTTGCTTCGTGACAAGCGAAGGATTTTCTGACTCTTTCCTCTCTTGGAGAGAAACAGCAGAAGATGCCGGGAGCTCAGCTGGGAAAGCTGGCAGGAAAGCTGCAAGCAAAACCATACCAGGCAGGGCAGCGAGAGGCTGGGACTTGCATTCGTATCTGAACTAAGAGAGGCTCAAAGCAACCGCTGCCTTTACAAATGCAAGGCAAGGGGGGGTCACAGGCAAGATCTGAACACAGGATTAGCGCTTGAAATCAGGCATCTGCAACAGGAGTCAAAGAGCCACAAAGGCAAACAGCTCCTGTTTACATCAAGAAAAAAGGACAGTCCTAAATTATGACAGGCAAACGCTGTGGCTAAATAAAAGGTCTTTTGTATCTCTTCATTCGTACTGCACGTGACAATCACTGCGTACCACAAGGTAATGGTTAATCCTGTCGTGCACTAGTATAAATAAATACATCCTTGCCCTTACACCAGTGGGGGGTTTGCCATTTCCATGCCAGGGCCACAAAGCCAGAGTCCTGGGGGAGATGGGGAGGAGAGGAGCGGCCCCCAGGTGTTAAATCCCCTCGGGGCAGTCCCCCTGCCCGGCACAGCACCTCCCCTCGCAGCAGTGCTGCGGGCCAGGCTTCCCCCAAGCTCTCCCAGTACAGGAGGGGGTTCCCTGGGTCTGCGGGGTCAGCCCCAGCCACGCTCGCAAGAGGTATGGGTATTTCTTTTGGGTATTCCCAGGAGGAATCTCATTTCTTGCCTCCCAAAGAGCTAAAATGCAGAAGATGGCTGCTCTCAGCACAGACCCACCCGCTGCTCGTGTGGGCGCTGCTCCATGTGTCTGCCTGCAAATGTTCCCGACAAATGATGCTGCTGCAGAGGAAATACGGTTCGGGGTTTCCTTAGCAGAGAGAGGCATGGTGGCACGAACCCAGCCAGCATGTAATGCTGGGCAAGTGGCCCCGAGCAATGAGGGGTGAATCCTCTCCCAGCCATGCTTTCCCACACCGGCTCCCCATTTTTCATCTGGATTCACAGAGCCTTTGCACCATGCAGCTGGGACAGGGCTTAAGCAAAGCCACCGATGGGTGCTGCCGAGACAGCCCTCCTGCGGGCCGGGGGGCTCAGAGCTATCCTTTCACATCACACCGTGCCTTGCTGGGCAACAGCCTCCCCATGTAGAGAAACCCTTGTTTTATAATCCATTGAGCTACATTTTCTTCTAAAATGGTTAAAAATAACTCGCCAGCGAAAGCAAATGCCCTGGCCTCAATGTCCCCGTGTTGGCCAGGAGGAGGAAGGAGGGAAGAAAGCTTTTTGTTCCCCTGCCCTCTCTGCTATCATGAGAATCCCCTGCTTTCCACCCCCTATGCAGCACCAGCCTTCCTCCCACATCGACCTACCAGAGAAAAGACACGCATAAAGACCGAGCGCGGCAGGAGGTGATGCCCTCCGGCACGGCTCCTGGGCAGGTACTTCTCATGCCACTTTTGGAAAGCGCGGAGGACTGAGGTGGGAGTGACAGTGACAGCAGCGCGATGGACGGAAAAGCGATGACACAGGCACCCACTTCAAACACAGCTTTGGGTCCACCCTGCCAGAGAGGAACTTGGGGCCAGGGTTTGGCTTTTTTGTTTTGTTTTTTTAAAAACAGGAAAGCATATTGTGGCTAAACAATAGGAAAGTCTCCAGAAGGAAATGAATGGACAATTTATTTATAAAGCCGTTCCCCCCTCGCGTGAACACCTGCCGGTTGCCACCAGGAATAAAGCCTGACATAACCCAAGGCAGCGGAGGCAGAGCTTTCCCACTGAAACACGCCTGAAGCTGCGCTTGGGCATGTGCTTTACTCATTATGTACTGAAGGGGACTAGGCAAGCTCAACAGGATGTTTGTGCCTTTGAATTGCCCCAATTTGCGGCTCGGCTTCCATAGTTTGGATCACATTTCAGTCCCTCTGCTATTTCTCCAAACCCTCCCCTCTCCTGTCTGTGCTTTCCCACCCAAAAGCCCATCCGTGGGATAATGACAGCCAAGCTCATGGCAGAAATGCCACCCTACCCAAGGGTGCCTGATGCCATGACAGGCAGCTAAAAGAGCTACGCCAACTCTTTTTTTCAGCTATGAGATTCCTACAATGCTTTGAGCAAGTAATTTCTTCTCTTTATGCCTCACTTCCCAGTTTAACAGAGAGTAATAGTATTCCTCCACCACACAGGAAACTAAAAGGATTAAAAAATGTGAAGTTCTCAAATACTTAAATCCCTGAGCCCTGTAAGTATGTCAGCGGGCTGGCTAGATCTTCAAATGGGACACAAATCCACTGGGTCCCCCTGGGTGATGTTTCTGGGTCCTAACCAGCATTTTGCTTCTTTTCATTCTGGGTTTTCCATTTTTCATCCCTACTCTCACCAACTGCAAACATGATGCTTGCAGCATCAGTCCCTTAAACGCACGAGTGGGGCTTCAGCAAATATAAAGTAAGCCAGGAAAATGGAAGAAAAAGCTGAACTGAAGGATTAAGAATGGTGTAGGGCTCCTCACTGCAACCTGCAAAAGAAACCCTGGCTGGAAGGCAGCATTTCTATCCACATAGCCTGCACTGAAATAGATTTGGGTTATGGGGACCCATGCTCTCAACTGCAAGTAGCTATCACACATCTGAAACTTCACCTCCTTTCCAAAAGGCCAGCACATTTATTTCTTAGGTTATGCTGACCTTTGGAGAGGTATTTTAACAAACATGCACTTTGCATTTCAAAAAGGTACAGCAGACAGACCCTGGACAAATTCCACATATTTATCATGGTTCCAGTTCTAAAAATAAACATTTTTTTCACCCATTTGTTCACAGCATCGGGTTTGCTGTGGCACTGTAATCCCACTGACAGCAGCAGACAAAATTCAGAACAAGAGCTCTCTCCAAGGCTGCTACTCTCCGGGGCGCAGAACGGAGGAGGCTGCTTAGCTGGGGAGTTGACCTTGAGCCGGATTGATCCTGTCTTCACTTGCCCTGACAAGCCAGGCAGGAATAATACCACCGAAAACCCTAAAATGAGGGAGAAGAGAGTAACATTCAAGGAGACCAGAGCTACAGCAGAGAGCTACGACAAGGGCAGCCTGACAGTTGGAGGAGGAGGGCACTGCCTGCCCGATGTGCCACGGGTAAATTCATGGTCTATATTAACTCCACAACCACTGCATCAAAAGACATTCCCTGGCTTCCACAACCCTTTCCTGAGGACCCCCTCCAAGTAAATCCATGACAAAAGACGCGCAGGATCACAAGGCAAGCAAATTATGGGGCAGCCAGGTGCCAAACAGGGATGCATACTGGATAAGGCAAGGATGTCAAGGGAACAGAAATTACTGGGACCGCTACCCCGTGGGTGAACAGCTCACAGGAGACAACAGCTCATCAGCATGCAGCTGGAGCGTGGTCTCTCCGTGCTGTTCAGAGAAAAAGCTGAAAGGTAGCAGCCTGCAGCCTGAAATCTATCCATTAATGCTCACTGCATGGGCGAAAGGGAATCCACCTAACATGCCCACGTCTTATCTTTACGGCCGGTGCTTTACCAGTAACATTAGAACTTTTTCCTGTTACAGTAGATAGTTAGGTCGCTGCTGCTGCAACAACCCTGTTGAACATTAAACAAAGCGTCTGGAGAGAGGGGGCAGGTGGCTTTTCCTTTAAAACAGGAAAATCCCAACAGGTGGGGGACAACGTGGTCAAGTTTACTGCATGA